AGAATACTACTTTTGCTAGCAAACAGTTTTATCAACTAATACTAATATGAGTGATCGCTGTTTCAAATTCTCAACAAGTTTTACTTGAAAGACGCATTGTTTCCATATGAAATCTCAGAGCATTTCAAGATATTGTTCTAACTGTCGCGATATACAAATCAAAATTTTAAGAAACATATCGTTGTAAGATTTCATTTAATCAAAACGTTAGGGCGAATTACCAATTTTATATGAGTACATCGATGCTCTAAACTCTTCGGTCGAGGGTTGAGCGAATCGCACAGCGACGAGTGTTACTTGTTGTTAAAATCGTGGTAAATGTGGTTATAGCTGTTTTGAAAAAGCTTGCAAAATCTAACAGTTTTCTAAGTAAGACTAATCTGGCATTTGTTAGGGTTTAAGTGAAAAGATTTATGTCATGGTAAAATAAGATCAAAGATGGCAGCAGCTAGTCATGAGTGGCGCCCCAAAGTGGCGCCAACGAGTGACTAGCTGCTGCACTAGGTAATCTGCAGAAATACCGATTCAAGGTATTGGGATTCATTGAATAATCACCAATAGCCAAGGTTCAATGGGTCTGATTAAGCAATATCAGATGCAAAAAGCTGAAAAACTATGTCAAGTCAAGGATGAGAAACGGTTTTTATGTTTAGACACAATAGCTAAATAATTCATCGGACGAAAAGCATTACTCGAAGATTTTATATTTGCTGTATCAGCAGTGGACATGAATGAAATAAACTAGAGTTTCTCTTGGTATATGCTTTTCTTTGTATTAATTCAAGTATCTGGCTGTATACTGATATATTCAAATTACCTGTCTAGTAAACAGTATCGTTAGTTCACGTGTTAGTAAGTGAATGGATTTTTAGTAGAAGCTTTAAAGAGTAAACCCCCCCTCATATTAAAAGATCCAGGGTCTTGTATAATGTTTAAGCGGAAAATTTTTTTAGGGGGGGGGGGGGGGGGGTTGTTTTATGACTCTCGTATTTTCGCGATTTTTTGGACACTCACAATTATTTTCGAAGAGTTTAGTAAATGCAAGTTTAAGTTGAAGTCTTACGGCTCCTCAATTTTTATCATAGTAATCAGATGCTGGGAAAAACATCACTCACACCCTTCCCACAGCAACAAACAATAGGAAGTAATTAATATCAACGGCTATCTTATTTTATAATCTGTAATTTCTAATTTCTCTTCTAAATATTATGCTTTTAAGTTTTGTAAAACTCACATATATTTTCGAAGAAACTAACAGTGATCGTAGGTTTGAGTCAAGATTTTTCAGCTTGTTCCCTCTTTCCCATTATATGTCGTAGCAATCATTTAGATTTAATACCCGTAGAATAAAAAAATGAAAACAAATGGTGGCTCTCAGGTAAAAAAAAATTAAAAAAAGGCATTTTCCATGATGAAAAGGATATAATCATGCATGTTTCTTATTTTCATTGATTAAAATCAAAATTTTTACCACTCTTGTTTCATGATTTTGATTTCTAATCATTTTCATTATAATCACCTTGATTAGAAATCAAAATCATGAAATGTAATTCGTGAAACTTTCATTTTAAACGATGAAAATACGAAACATGCATGATTATATCCCTTTCATTATGAAGTATGGCATTTTTTTCGTTTTTCTATTCCCTGGGAAGGTTGCGAAAACTTCTACAATCATTGCTTGTCAATAGTTCGAATATTTTTATGAGCATTCGCAAAAAGCTAGCCTCCTTTTTTGCGCAGATAAAAGTTTATACGATCCATTTGAAAGATAATCTTTTGTGATTTTTCATAACGGTAGTATAAGTTATATAAAATCGTGATCAAACTACTTTCTAACTTTTAGAAATATTTATTTTGTGTCTTATTCAGTGCATTAGTATGCATACAAGATTGTTTGAATATGGCGAAGACAGAACCAATGTCTATACTAAGATTATTTAATCATTAAATTAGAGCTTGAATGGAATAATACGAAATAATGATAATATCGATTAACAGAAGAATAACACATTGCGAATGGCAACAGGAAAAGAAACGCATTAGAGAAAAGATGTGTTTGAAATGTACGAATAGAAACTGCTAGAAATTAATCATTATGACCAATGTTTTTTTTTGAAGTTTAACATTCTGCGTCGCTTGTCTTAATATTATAAATATATTCAGGAAATCTGATAACTGGAATGAAGGAGAGATAGGAATTCGAAATGAAATAGTTTCTTCAGAATAATGTTTTACAGCGTATGCTGTAACTCAAACGATAGAATCAGTTGTAATCTATCCATTTATTTGATATGTTTTGAAAATAAACTTTTTCACTCATTTTTGAGAATATAATATAGATTTGTAGCAGTCTGAGTCTAATGAGTACTACACTTTGGCTCCATAGTGACTACATTGATAAGTTTTTGTAATTAAAAAAGTCCTCGGAGAGAATCGAAGCGATTTTGAAAATTGGAGAAAGAATTTTCACGATTTTCAAAGCTGAAATATAGAGTTTAGCTCATCAATTTGAAAATTTGCAGCTGAAAACCTCCAGAAATAGACACGTTTCGGGGTAAGACATTAATAAAAATCCTCAATTAAAAAAAAAATCTTAAATAAATAGGGGGGTCTTCTATTATGTGGGACACGATTTTTTCCCAAAGGAGTCTTCTATTATGGGGGGTCTTTTAATATTGGGGGGGGAGGGCTTCAATGATAGGGGGGGGGGGGGGGGGGGTGGCTTGCACGTTTTCACAAAATTGTCCCAAATGTTTTTTGTTTTATTGCTTCTCAGCAAACTAAATAAAAACTCTTTTTGATCGGGTACATGTGAGTATCCCCGCCATAGTTTAGTTCTTTAGATTGTTGTTGAGTATCGGTGTGAGGGTGTCAAATTGATTGGATGTATTCGTAACAAACATGATCATCCGGATCCATATACCATTGTGCACAACGCGACTGATGCTAATACCAACGTACAAACACTTACTCACTCTTGTGAAATATTTGGTACTAGCTGTGTTGAAGACTGTAAAGCACTATAAAACATCAAAGAGTCGAAAATACAGTCGAGGGTCAAGCGAGTCACTCGGACGAGTGTTACTTGTGAATAAATATTGGCTTCTAGAATTGACTTTAATTCTAATTTAAGTTAATTTTATTCTAAAATGTAAATGCGCAAATGTCTATAATAAAATTATTTAATGTATTTATGTTTGTAAATCACATGTTATATACTTATAATTTACAAGTTATAATCTCTACATAAATAAAATAATAAGTATTTTAACCACTTTAGTCCTGCCACGGACAGACACAACGTTATTGTAGGTTGGCGATCTTTCTACATCACTCACGCGATCGAAAAAAGAATACAAGAAAATGCGAGGATCTACAGAACTTAGGTTCATCAGAGTGAAACTATTTACAAACCATACTGCTGTAAAACTATGAGAACTAGGAATATGATACTTCAATTGCTACAATAAGTTACAATGAAAGAGATGATACAAAAGAATGTGGATGCTACATACAAACGGCTTTTCCCTCCTTCCGCACGCGATTTGGCAATACAACAGCTGTAAATTATAGATTACCCATTTTCTCTATGACCACAATATCGCATGAAAACATATATTTTTTCTAAACATCGGATGAGGACCCAGAGTAAGATCGAAAGACGCTATGGTGTCCTTGATACATCCATACCTTTCATCTGAAAAGATTCTTTACTGAATTGAAACGCGTTTCGGTAGTTGCACTTCATACTTTTTGTCTTTATATAAAATTTATTACACTTCAGCATACCTCACACCAAAAAACAGTTAGAAGAAATATTAGTAGTACCAAGTAAAAATTAGAAATAGTGAATCGATAGAAAGCACTCAAGTCTAGAATGGCAATATTAGCAAGTTTGTAAAAAAGTATTTAAATTCTCAGCACCTTCATTAGCCACGATGAAATCCAACTTTCTATCGCCGTCTAAATCACCAACAGAAATTGAGAATGGATGAGTTCCATAGGTAGTCGAAAACAACTTGACATTTGCAAACGAGCCATTTCCATAACCCAGCAATACACCTATATCGTTTGTACCATAATTCGTAACAATTATGTCCAGCAAAGTGTCATTGTTGAAATCGCTAACGGCAACCATGTTTGGTTGAGAGTTAAAGCCAGTCATAAACACCTTTTGACTTGAAAAAGATCCATTTCTATGTCCAAGAAACACACCAACATTGTGACTATCACGGTTTGCAACAACGATATCAAGTATCATATCGTCGTTGAAGTCACCAATAGCTATTGACCACGGTGAAAATCGAGTTGAATAGGTTATTTGATTTGCGAAAGAACCATTGTCATATCTCAGAAAAATACCGATATTGTTCGTGCCTGAATTCGCCACTGCAACATCCATTTGACCATCCTTGTTAAAATCTCCAATAGCAAACGACTTGGGGCGAGATCCATTGCCAGTTATAAGTCTCATTTGGTTGAAGAAATCTTCTTTTGGATATCCGAGATATACACTAACACTTTTTCCATTTCCATTACTGACAACGATATCCAATTGGGTGTCCTTATTAAAATTACCAACAGCTACGGAAGAAGGACTAATGCCAGTGGAATATATCATTTGTTTTTCAAAAACACCATTACCATGTCCAAGCAAAATACTCATGGTACCATCGTCCCAGTTAGTAACGACAATATCTAGTTTGTTGTCGTTGTTAAAATCATCAACAGCGACAGCTTGTGGGCCAGTACCCGTTAAATATATCGTTTGATTAGCAAAAAAACCATTGCCATATCCGAGAAGGATACTTACAGTGTTATCAGCACTATTAGCAACGACAATATCTAATTGGGTGTCGTTGTTAAAATCACCAACACTCACAGATATTGGGAAAGAGCCAGTTGAATATTTTGTTTGATTTACAAAAGAGCCATCACCATATCCGAGAAGTACACTTACAGTGTTCGCAACGTAATTAGCAGTGACGATGTCCAGATGAGTGTCGCCGTCAAAATCACCAACTGCCACAGAAACTGGGCTAGCGTCAGTCAAATATTTCGTTTGATTTGAAAAAGAGCCATCACCATATCCGAGAAGTACACTTACAGTGTTGTTATTTGTATTGGCTACGACGATGTCCAGATGAGTATCGTTGTTAAAATCACTAACAGCTACAGAGCGTGGCCCAGAGCCAGTTGGATATTTTGTTTGATTTGCAAAAGAGCCATTACCATACCCGAGAAGTATACTTACAGTGTTTTCATTTGTATTAGCTACGACAATATCCAGATGAGTGTCGTTGTTAAAGTCACCGACATCTACAGACCACGGCCAGGAACCAGTGGAATATTGCGTTTGCTTTGCAAAAGAACCATCGCCATACCCAAGAAGAACACCGATAGTATTGCTTCCCATATTAGTAACGACGATTTCCTGATAAGTATCTTTATTAAAATCAGCCAGAGCTAGGGAGTTAGGCCAAGTAGCAGTTGAATATTTAATGTCATGGCCAAAAGATCCAAGGTTGTATGTAGTGTACACATCTATATGATCGATATCCTCATATGCAACGAAAATTTCTGAACGCTCATGTTGATTCAAACTACTAGTACCAATCGCCACTGGAGAGAAATCGAAGTCTATACCGTAACTTGCTTGATTTTCAAATGCTCCATTCTCATTTTCCAGAAATGTAACAAGATTTTTAGTGCCATAATTTGCCACGGCTATGTCTACTCGACCGTCTCTATTGAAATCAAAAATAGCGATTGAGTACGGATGAGACTTTAAGCCTGTTGAGAGCACCATTTGCTTTCCAAAAGTACCATTCTCATATCCGAGAATGATGCCTATGTTATCAGTGCCATAATTAGCCACGGCGATATCCAATACATTGTCATTATTGAAATCAAAAACGGCAAAGCTTCGCAAACGCGAACCATCGCTAGTGGCAAACGTGACTTTCTCTTTCAGAGCACCTCTGTCATATCGAAGTAGTATACTCACAGTGTTGTAATTAAAATTGATAACGGCAATATCCGTTTGAGTATCGTGGTTAAAATCACCAACAGCGACAGCGTCTGGGCCGGAGCCGGTTAAATATGTCGTATGATTAGCAAAAGAACCATCACCATTTCCTAGAAGTACACTTACATTGTTGCCACCAAAATTGGTGGTGACGATATCAAGTCTGGTGTCATTATTAAAGTCAGCAAGAGCTACTGATGTTGTTTGAGAGTCAGTAGAATATGTCTTTTGATTTGCAAACGAGCCATTACCATATCCGAGAAAAACACTTACAGTGGCGTCATTCATATTGGCTACGACGATATCCAGGACGTTGTCGTTATTTAAGTCACCAACAGCTACAGAGACTGGTCCAGAGCCACTTGAATACGGAACTTGATTTGAAAAAGAGCCATCACCATTTCCAAGAAGGACACTTACAGTGTTGCCATCATAATTAGCAACGACGATATCCAGATGAGTATCATTGTTAAAATGACCGACAGCTACAGAAAATGGTTGAGAGCCAGTTGAATATATTGTTTGATTTACAAAAGAGCCATCACCATATCCGAGAAGTACACTTACAGTGTTGTCACCAGAATTGGCGGTGACGACATCAAGTCTGGTGTCATTATTAAAATCACCAACTGCCACAAAAATTGGGCTGGCTTCAGTCAAATATTTCGTTTGATTTGCAAAAGAGCCATCACCATATCCGAGAAGTACACTTACAGTGTTGTTATTTGTATTGGCTACGACGATGTCCAGATGAGTATCGTTGTTAAAATCACCAACAGCTACAGATTGTGGCCCGAAGCCAGTTGGATATTTTGTTTGATTTGCAAACGAGCCATTTCCATATCCAAGAAGGACACTTACAGTGTTCTCATTGTTATTAGCAGTGACGATGTCTAGATGACTATCGTTATTAAAATCGCCAACTTCTATAGAGTATGGCTCTCTGCCAGTTGAATACGTCTTTTGAGTCGGAAAAAATTCGTCATAGCCAACCATAATGCCTATGGTGTTTGTATCATTGCTGATAAAGACAATGTCTGAGCGATTGTCTTTGTTCAAGTCACCTATGGTAACGGAGATTGATGAAGAAGATCCAGTTGAATACATTGTTGGGCTCGCAAAGGTACCGTTGCCATATCCGACAAGTAAAGCTATATTGTAAGAGCCATTATTGGTGACTACTAAGTCCATTCGATTGTCGTTGTTGAAGTCACCAATGCCAATAGCATATGGAGAAGCATTAGGAAGGGAATATGTCATTTGACTCATAAACGTTCCGTTGCCATATCCCAGAAGTACACCTATACTGTCATTTCCATAATTGGTGACAGCAATGTCTAGGATCATGTCTCCATTGAAATAACCAACGGCAAGCGAATACGGGTTTGAATTAGGGCCAGTTAAGATAGTGAATTGGTTTGTGAAAGTACGATTACTAGTTCCAAAGAGTATACCAACATTATTAGTACCATAATTGGCGATAGCAAGATCTATCTGTTTGTCGTTGTTGAAATCGCCACTAACGACTGCTAATGGGAAAGAATCATAGCCTGTAGAATAATTACTTGAGTTTGAAAAGGTTGCATCTCCATTCCCATAAAATATGCTAACACTGTGTGTCCCATAATTAGCAGTCACAAGATCTACTGCTGAGTCATTGTTGAGATCTGCTGCATGAATCCAAACTGGACGAGATGATTCAGTGGATAGAAATATTCGGTTTGCGAAAGATTCGTTTTGAAATCCAAGAAGTATATCGATACTATTGGTGCCGAAATTTGCGATAGCAACATCCGGTCGATGATCATTGTCAAAATCGCCAACGGCAATCATATACGGAGCAGAGCCCTTACCAGTAGAGATCTTGATTGGGTTTGCTACGGTACCATCGTCATGTCCAAAATATATGGCTATATTGTCAGCGTCATAATTGGCAACCACAATATCTAACCAAGTATCATTATTGAAGTCGCCCATGGTGACAGCTCGTGGACCATACTTATATTCGATCGGATTTTGAGCTGTTGCTTTGAAATTGAACTGACATTTTGGGACTAAATAACACAAGAACAAATATATGAAGACTGATCTATTCCCAAGATTTAATAATCCATAATCGATGATATCAGATTTCAATAATTCTGATTATTTTCTATAGGAAATAGTCAGATCATTACAAAATAATCTGAATGGCAATAAGCAGTTTTCAGTAAGAATCTCGTTGAGACTCGCCAAACTGATAGTGATTGAAGAAAGAGAGACTGCAAGTAATATAATGACAAAACGAACTATGGACTCCTACTAACAATGAGTTCTAATCTGTATTCGTTTCTATCTTACTAATTCGTGAAGCAATGCTATCAGCTACAATTACAATATAATGATGATAATTTTGTACCATTTTGAAACAAGCGAAAGGCAACATCGCTTTGCTGCAGCACTCCTGTCATCGTGTCATGACTATCATGCATTGTTGGTTAACAACAATAATTAGAATAGAACAAGTTTTTTTTACAAGGATTCGAGACTACACACTGAATATAACTACGACTATTTATTGACAGCTATCATCTAAGGAGTTAAGCAATGATTGATTTCTGATTGTGAACATCGTGATTATACTCCATTGTCACAATATGACTTCTTTTGCTATATGACGATTTCTCACAATAGATAGGTGTGTTTTATTTGATTAGAAAGCTGAGACGGTGAATCCTTGTCACTAACACATTATCTTATTATGTGATAGAAAATGTGTCAGTTCAATTTTTCGCCTCAATCCAGCTTATTTTACATAAATAACTATGTGCTTGAAGTTTGATCTAATGAGTTTAGAGTTGAGAAGTGCGAAACCAATCATAGCTTCTAAAAGCTTCTAGCACCTTTATTTTCGAGATAGGGTTGTTTGGGAGAGAAAACCTGACGATTACAGTTTTCGGAAAGCCACAAACAAAGAAAGAGGGTGCATACAAAGACAAATTAACTGTTCGGAAAATAATTCGATCACTTTCGATGTAGATCACAATCCTGCATTGTTGCTTCAGTCAAATGGTTTTCCAATAATAATAACTTAGTCAAAATATTTGTTTACTTGTCTGTAAATAGTATCATCTGAAGCACCAGTAAATTGTGTACAAACACTCTACTCTGGTAGCTATGTAGCTATATAGATCGGAAACTTTTCCTAGTAATCTCAGATCGATTCCAGAAAACCACATACTCGGCTTCTTTTTTGTTAATATCAATACTATAGATCCTTCTAAAATAGCGGAACATATTATTGCAGTTTTAAGTACGATCAATCATCGAAATACTTTAACTATTAAAATAAGTAGAAGAAAACTGCATGAAATCCTTAAATGGGAAGACTATCTTGTACCTACTAAAAAAAGAATTGACGTATAGTAAAATACAGTACTGCAATCCGTTTTGGCAGGACTGAATCATTTTTTTAAATAGTTTCAATGTGGTATCAAAGAGTTTTTCATTCCATTCCACATCGAAAGTTGCCTTTTTTATAGGCTTCTCCTTTGAATTTCTCGATTCTTCAGACATATGACCATAGTTTATTTAAAAAAATCTTATTTTTATACAACTAGTTTTCTTTGAAGCAAGAGGCAAAACCGATCAATTTTTTCACTCTGGCAGATACTACTTAACATTTACCGATAACCGTAGTAATGCGATCAACATATTCCGAAATATCTTATAGTTGAACTCATAGAGTAGAATAAAACTTGGAAACAAACTCCTCTCATTGTTCATACCTCAATGAAGAGAGATTTCTACAGACTGACTTTATACAAAATCATGTTACGAATCGTTACTTGTCGCATAAAAATATAATATTTCTAGCTAAATTTTTCACTCAATAAGGAAACTTAAATGGTATGAACATATCAAAAATTAAAATTAAAATTAAGAAAATAAATAATCAGTCTCGTGGATCATAAGTGCATCAATAAGACTTTTGATGTCATATATCTGTTTGAATTGTGCTACAAACGCCTATAACTGTCTAATATCGAAAAGAATTTAGAGAAGAGAAATTATCTACATTTCAAATGCTGTCATTCATTCAGAAGTGATATCTGGATGTTAATGGTTATAGGACTTCGAAATCTTGTTTATCCCATTCATCATGATGATTCAAAGTGATTGCCATTTCGAATATGTGAAATTAACTTCCAAAAATATAATCTAAACATTGATTTAGATGTAATAAAATGTACTCTTTACTAGAACTGATTAAAGATGATGAATTCTAGGAAAATATGTCTGATGTCAGGCTTAACAATACTTTTAAGATGTTGTGAGGATTACTCATTTTTATTACCAAGACATATACTAGTTATATATTTGCTTTCTGAAGATAGGAGAGCACGTATCAGCTATTAGTTAGAGAGAAGTATTATTTTATGAGATATATATATACAAAGTAGCTGGAAGAAAGAAGATATAAATGGAACACATAATATTACTCTCGTCTATAAATAACATAAAGTGAGAAAATACACAGAACACTGTTTCGTGAAGAAGAAATATTGACTTTTATCAGGTTCTATGAGAAAATCGGTTGTATTTTTTCTTATTCTTTCGCATTGTTGTTGTATTCAAGAAGGTATCAATTATATAGAGAGAAAAAAATCCAGCATCGGCTAAGGTTTTTCTCTAGATATGTGAAAGTGTTACGACAAATAATTATAAGAAGTGATTCAGAAACATTGAATAAGATAAAGTTGATTTGTCGGCAACAGTTAACAATGCATAATATCAATTTGTAGAAATCCAGATCGCGAAATTGTTTTTCTATTGACATATGAAAAAAAAACTAAGAAAAACGTAATAATCTCTGTCTTATAGAAAATTACTATCCGCGTTCCTCTAGAACGAAGCGACAATTCGATTATTCTTTCTAGAATTCTTTTCTAATCTGTAATCTCTAAACAAGGAGTGAGATTTGAAGGATCCAAGGATGTTTTAAATGGAATAGTAAAATAGTCGTAAAATTAAGAATACTGGTATAACAGAACTGAATTAAGTATGGACTGTTATAGTATTGAATATGAAGAATGTAAAACAACAAGAACATACCTGGTGTTTTTGCTGTGGTGAAGCAAACTATCAATATACCTATGATTGTTAGTATACTTGTGGTAATAGGTAATACAAAGATAGGTTTGGGTATAAAATCCAGCATTAACCAGTGAAAATATTTCCTAGGAAAGAGAAAAAGTGATGATAATCTATGTCACAAGAAAAGTCTTACATATTCTGTCGAGTAGTGTAATTTTTTATTCGATTGATAGGTTTATACTGAACTTCTCTTGCATTTTGGACATTTGGCATTGATCTCGGCGCTTCATTTGCATTATCGGAAACGGTATCCTCACGAGGACCGTACTTGTCCAATTTAACGTTATCGTCCATAGAAACCATTTCAATCTACAAGGTGACGAAAGTTAAGGAAGAACACAACTAATATGAACATATCAATCTGTCTCTAAATATGAGGTTTTTTTTATGAAAATTGTCGATAGGATAATTTTGCCTACTCCATTCAGTTAATATGCGTATAGGTGAATATCTTTTCTATGCGATCTCAACGAGTTCTTCACTATTAAATAAATGCGTTTAATATGTTTAGCAAAATGCACAACATGTTTGCTGATAAACTTATACCCAAACAAAACACTTGCGCGAATATCACATCATCTTACAACACTTATCAAAATTAATGATTCGAATGTTTAGTTAACCAACCGACACTTATTTAGTTTTTTTGATTTTTTGTCAAAACTAGTACACAGTATTTTTTCTGTTTTGCAGCAATGTTTTTTAAAACGGTCGGCAACAGATTTTCAGATTCGTGGAATCTTCATCAAGGCACCAAAATCACACTTTTTTAACGTTCAATTAAAACTTCAGATCTGTCACTTGCCAAATTCATCTTTTCTTTTGAACTAGTTTTGAAAAAAAAGTATGTTAAACTATCCAAACATAGAAAATTTTCTTCGTTGGTAATTATCAAATGTTACTAGAGCTTCTTGTAGCAGAAAATGAATACTTATTATACAACCCGTGTCCAGTTACGTCTTTTTTTGGCATATTTTTGCGAGGTATGTTCGTGGCATAAGAAGATTATGCATTAATAATTTTTTGACGAAACCATATCTCACCGAGATGAAATGTTCAAAGAGAATCTATGTTTCTTCGTCTTCCTTCTTCAGTTACCACTGTTTTCGGATGTTCTGTTTAATGACATCAAAATAGTAGTAATAGCGACTGATCGAGTTTATAGTTGAAATAATGTCTACAAAGAGACTTTAATAGCAAAGGTTTCCTGAAAAGTATGATGACCGATCAATTTGTCGCATATAAACGAGAAGATGCATAAATTGAATTAAGTAATTTAATTTAGTATCATATTCAATTAATCATGCAAATATATGCTCTATTATGGAATTGTTAGATGTAAACGATGGATAGAAGACGCACTTCGATGGATAAAATAATTAATACTAAAAAATTGCTTATAAAATCCTTCATTTGAAGTGCACATGGTCTGCTACTGCATGGGACTCAAGTTCTTTCAGGAGATGAATTCTGAAAGAATTATCAGCTTACAAAAACCAGAAAGTGAAGGCAAAACTCGCTGATTTGTAAAACTGCAAGAGTCAGCGGATAAAGTGGCTTTGAAAATTTTTAAAATGACTTGTAGATTTGCGGTGCTGCAAACATCAAAGCGAAATAATCTAATTAATTTTTTTTACACTGGAATGTTTCAGTCAAAAAGAAAACTTTTTTGAAATGAAAAGTTAAAGTTAAATTATGTTTTTAATGCAAAATGGGAAAACTTTAGGAAAAGTTGATTCAAATTGATTTTAGCTTTATTAAACATGTT